CAGTTTCTGCTACTACAATCACTCTCCTTGTTGGCCTTCCCCTCTCTTTTAAATTCATTCACTTGAATTGTGATATGTTTATCTTCTATGAATTGATTCCTTTTCTATATTTCTAGCCTTTCAAATAAAAAAGATACACTTAAAATTGAGTGTATCCTTAGGAACCCAGTATGGAACAACCTCAATAAAATTTAACAGTATTCAATATAAAAATATAGCATTCTCTTTCTCTTATTATGTACTTAAATTCATTCATGCCCCAAGGTATCATTCTCTGTGATGCTCCTCCCTGGCACAAAATCACCATTCTCCCTTGAAATTTGTAGTTTTGTACATGCATTTATAGAGACTAACAGGTCTAACTTTCCCAAAAAAGTCTCTAGCTTATTATCATCTTCTTCAGGAATGGCCATAATTATCATCAGCACCTCATGGTGCTATACCAAACAACTTAACAAGCAATTCATGGGCTTTCAAGGGAAATGAATGTAGTAGCAGYTCGCACGAGATTCCTCATGATTTAGGCATTAGACAATTCTCAGTCTGTTGACGGTCAGTTCTCCGGTGAGCTTGAATTTTCTCAGCAAGGAAGCAGGCAATACATGGAACTTGGGAGCTCAAGGGCGTATGATTCTTCTAATAATCAGATGCACTGGTCTCTTTAAATGGACTCACTTAGTGCTTAATAGGTTTATGCTATGCACTTGCCTTTTTTCCCCAGTTTTGCTTGGACCTCTTTTTTGAGTTTCAATTCCTGGCTTTTGACCTTGAAAATAAATTCAGTTTTAAGTTGCAGTTCTACTCCTTTAGTAGCTTATTGGGTATGCTGGTATTAATTAGGAAGAGCAAGAGCTCTTTTAATTAGTTTGTTTTAAATTTGAAATCCAGATATTTAACTTGGCCTTGGAATATCAATGGAGCATYCACTTTTYAGGTAATGCAAGCAGCTAGCAAACTTGGTATCTCAATTACTGTCAATAAAGTAGGAAGTGATTCCCCAAACACTGGASCTCCTACYACTRTCTCTCCAATTGATGGGTCTAAAGAATGGCAACCAACATTTACTTTGGACGAAGATGGGCTCCTTCATCAGTTACGTGCTGCTCTTGTGCAGTCTCTTGATACTGCTGCATGACAGTTGCTCATACACTGTTATTAGCCTCTTTTGTTTTTCTATTACTAGTTATTGTTTGTCATGCCTATATTTAGATGTTTTCATGTGGATCTTCTGTTTGCAGCAAAGTTGCCTTTACCCAATCTGCAACAACAGCCTCATCAACATCCATTTGTCCCTGCCATACAGGAGTGCATTGATGCTATAACTGAACACCAAAGGCGTCATGCTCTAATGAAAGGAGAATGGGTTAAAGGTTTGTTACCGCAGAGCAGTGTCCGAGCTGATTACACAGTGCAAAGGATCAGGGGTAAGTTTTCTTATATTTTACTCTTGCTTATAGGCCTAGGTTGAACCTTTTATTACRGTTGCTTCCATTTGGATGGGATAACTCATATAGCAGTCACTATAATCATGGCCTCATGGGTAATGCATTTGTGGAATCTCACAGGGCTTGCTGAAGGAATCTGCTTGAAGAATTACGAATATCTGGGGAGTGGGGAGGTTTATGGCAAAGTGAACAAGAAATGGACTCTTGAACTTCCAACAGATTCTCACTTGCTAGTATATATTTTTTTATTTTGGTAGGATGAGGTGGGGGATCTCTGTTAATAACACTTCACTTCTTTCATTACAGGAAGTAGCAGAGAAACTTACGTTGCAAGTGCTTCGGGTGCTCACATTAGTCTTTTCTTCATTTGTTGTATATGCCCATTTGTGAATTTCATAATTGTGATTTTGAAGGTCAAAGGATTGACATGATCTTATAAGCATTGACATTTTAAACTCTCCTCTGCTATTTGTTAKTTGTGAAAATTCAATGGTTCATTAAATAACCAGAACTAGTTTGATTTTCATAAAGAAAACCAGAAATTATGACAACAGTCTTAAATGCCCAAAATTTGAGCCCAAAATAATGGCAGATGGTGTTTTCTTCTATCGTTCAAGAGGAAAAACTTGAATTAGACTTAAATTGGGTTTAAAAGAAGAGGCAGCATGGTTTATTTCCAAAAATTTTAGGGGCATTTAAGACTTTGTGACAGGGTTTTCAAATCCATGTCCAAAGGGTAAAATTGGAAAGAGATGAAAAAAAAATTTACCCAGGAAAGTGGGTGTTGCAAAAGAACATGGGAAAATAAGAAACTTCATTTACCTGGGTAAATCAAACAAAAAAAGAACATGGGTAAGTGCATTTACCCAGGTAAATGTGTTTCCAAAAAAGAACATGGCCTTAAATGTATGGGGGTGCATCATGCCTACATAAGTTCGACTGACAACCAAGAAATTTTCAATTGGGTGGATGGGACTTGGGAGCATTGAATCAATGACATTTTGTAACAATTTCTCTTCACAAAAAATAGACAATGTGTATATCCAATGAAATCTTACATTACAGTCTTCGAATACATTTCAGTATTCTACAAACCTACCAGAACATGCATCCGGGGGAATTCCTTTTCCCAAACTGCAAAACCCTTTGCTCATTTACTTCACTTCCAGGTCATGGCTGATGGGTAGTGATTAGTGAGCATCTTATACCTCCTGTAATTTTAACCTTAAGTTATGTTGTCTAGTTTAACCTAGTAAAAACAAAATCTTGCATTTGCAAGGTGGTATGGTAGGAAGAGGATAAATAAAAGAGAAGGGGTGTGATGGGGGATGCCACAGATCTTGACCCCATAAATCAAAAACTTACACAGACTTTTATCTTCAAGTTAATGGTAATCAATCCAATTTCATAGACCACTAAGCCATTGGAATGTAAGGCGCGGGATCTCTTTGTGAACACTAAGTTGAAGGGGGTACCTCTTGTGCAACTGAGACACAAGGTCTCCATATTGTTTCTTTGCCAATGTCCATAAGAGCAATGCCTTTGATAGCCAGATTCTCCCTGAATCTGGTCACCCTAAGTGAAATCCTTGTTTTTCCTTGCTAGAGTTCTTTCCTCTAACAGCTTTAACACGTCATCCTCTGTCAATCCCACTCTTTCAAGGATTTATCCTTCAATTGCTGCAGAACCTGCCAGTTGAAAAGGCAATTGGTGTATGAAGCCCAATCCAAGATTACTTTCTAATTGATGAATCAATTTTTTGTGAAGTATCAATTTTTTGTGCTAAGTACCTTGTCATTTGGTCTGCTTCCAAGTGGCCGATGACTCAGAGGCCGAAGTAGAGAACTTTTGTAGGATGAGGACTTGGATGCCGGGTTGACCAGGCTAAGTTGGGGGCAGATTAGGTGCTGAGCTGACCAAAGTGTCGAGCTGCCTATTAGGTACTGAGCTGACCAGGTGCCGAGCTGCCCGGTGGTGAGCTGGATTGATTATTGAGCTTCGTAGCTCTTTAGAGACCTGCAAGGAATCAATGTCAAAGGACCCGAGGTGGCTAATCCGGCGAGGTCGCTCTGAAACTTAAGTCAGTACTCTCATAGTAGACTGTGAGATAAAAATCATAAAGTATGAGAGCTAGAATATGCTTACTTGCCCCCCTATGCCATTGGGGTTGGTGCCTTTATATAGGCATAGTTTGGTGTGGGCTTCATGCACCGCATCCGAGATTTCCGAGAAATCGTTTAAGTGGTTCGAGATTCCCTGAGGCAACCGCCATGCACGTTGACCACCATTCGGATCGTTTGGCATGTGGGTCAACTTCCAAGGATCGTGGGAGTGTTAGGATATGCATGCCGAATTTGTCGGCGAGCACGTCTCGCAGGTCGCTAGGTCGGCGCCTGTGCCAGGCCACCAGTTGGGACACCATCACCTTGGCTAAGGCAAATTGTTGCCTAAGTGGTTCCGGGTGTCATCTAGTTGTTCCGAGATGCCATGTGTCACAATATCCTTGGAGGGCCAAATCCGCCCTCATCACTAACCATGAAATATATCGTGCATATAACCATTTTACCTTAGAATAAGTTGAAGATGGCATCAGTCCAACAATACTTAGAACCTTTTTGACTTCTATCTCCAATGAAACAAGGGAATGAACCGATGATGCTTGTTGTTGCTTCCTCTGGCAAAATATAACAAATTATAGAGAAAGACAGTTAAAAATTTAGAATACATTTAAGGGCAAATTTCTTAAATTACATTTACTATTTAGCTAATTGACTAACTCTACCTACTGTTTACATATTGTCTTAAACCACCCCTATTTTTTATGACAATTGCCATCGTCGTTAAATCATAATGGAAATGGTAAAATATCCCTTTTGCCCTTATATTAAGAGAAAAAACTGCAAGAGAGACAAAACGTTCTCTCTCCAAGATCCGTCTAACACAGCATGGTTTCTGATCTGATCTGATCTGATCCGAAAGTCGATTCTATTTTGTCAGACTCTAATATTCTCATTTTAAGTAAATCGGATCATATCAGATTCAAATATCCAACTTTTTCATTGGATTTGAATTCAAATCAATGTTTTTGTAAGATTCGATTAGATCTTTGGATCGGATTTAATGTTAATTAGGGTCGTATATATCCTGATTTAAATCTGATCTGATCCGTTTACACCCTATGTATTGAAAATATCTCCCTTATTAATGGGGAGATTCGAACCGGGCATAAGCACGGATCATAATTTAACTGATTTGATTAGTTGGTTCAATTCGAGTTCCTAAACACTAGTGAATATGCACATTGAAGCCTTTTTTGGTTGGTCCAACAAATCTTTATTGATTTCTGGCGTATTCAATATTCAAACGAAACCATAGAGGTTTCTTTTTGATAAATACAATTTTTTTGTTTTATTTAGTTTTTTTTTCTTTATTGAAAAAAGGAGTGAATAATTTTTATATTTTAAGATGAGGAAAGATGTTCATGTGAGTAAAATAAATGAAGAATTAAAAAAAAAAACTATGCCAACGAAATGATTCTTATTTTATTTGTTTCATTTGGGAAAAATGGAGGTATTTATGGTCCATTAAAGTTTAAGATGGGCGAGAAAAGGAAAATAAGGAAACTTTAGGTGTAAATTTTGGTAATTTAATGCATTTCAACGAGTATTTGTTGCAAAATAAAAGTTGAGGGAGTATTTGTCCCATAAGTAAAAAGGGGTCTTTATAATTTGCGCAATAAACCCTTAAAAACTTTCACAAAAAAAAAAATATCATAATTCATAACATATTTAAAGTTGGAATTAGGAAAATTCTAAGTAATTAATATGGGCATGAGAGACATTAAAATCGATTGACTTCCGATTGTATTCGATTTATTCGGGTAAGGGGTATCCAAATTTGGCTCTAACTGGACCGAATTCTCATTTAACCCGGATCTGATCCGACTTATTTGCAACCTGTAATGTTGAACCTATCACAATTCACCACATCAACTCCACACACGTGGGGTCCAAATACGAGTTTAAATTAGAGTAGAAAATGCAGAATTTTTTTTTTTTTGGAAATCAGTAGAAAATGCAGAATACCAACATGCAAAGACACAAGTACAAAACATAACCAGTTGAAGATTCAACGGCGAATTGGCAAATAGAACGATGAAACAGACCAAAGTACAAAATTAATAATAATAATAAAAGTAACTTCTTAATGAACAGAGTAAAGACCCTCTCCACAGTCTAAAAACTCCTGTAGAGAAAAGATGAAGAAAGACCAAAAGCTCAATCCAGAATTGATAGCAACCCCTGTCCAGCATTTCTGTATTCTTGCCTCTGCAATCTCATCTCTTCATAAAACCTCTTAATGAACATCTCTGCTCTTCGATCCACACAGTCATCTTCGTTGCTCAAATCCAATGGAGACTCGGGCAACTCCCTTACAGCGTCATCATTGTCAACTGCTGGTAGCGGCTCCAATGCATAAACTGTTTCTTCTTCTTATTCTTCCTCGCATTCTCTAGCCGTTCCTCCTTCCACTGTAAAACAATTCGAACTACGACAGAGAAAGAACAATGAATAGATATCTCTACTGCTCCTGTTAGGTTCCATTTGGACATAAATCAGATTTGCTCTCTTAGGCTCCATTTGGAAGAGGTGTAAAAAATAAATATGTAGAGCGCAAAGCTTTGTATTTTGTACTATTTTGTATTTTTTTGTATGTCTTTGTACTCTTTCCAAGCCTAAAAGGGATGTTCTACAATGTGAATTATTTTTCATATTGCAGTTCTAAAAATAAATTAAAACCATTTTGTTTAAGAAAACTGATTGTTCTTAAAATAAATGATTAATCAATTTGATCCAAAAGATTATTCCTCCTGCACATTTGTCTTTCTTCTTTTACTTCTTTAACGAAAGGGAAAATTGCAGATTAGTATCTTGTAATTTGGGTCTAATCTCACTTTGGTCCTCGAACTTCAAAACGTGTCGATTTAGTACCTGTCATTAGTAATCCGTTAATTATCTGTGTCACATGATGGCATATGCGATTTAAAACTTTTAAAATATTAAAACTACCTTTCAAACTGTTCATTGTCTTCAATGTACAGTTGCATTAAGTAATGCGTGAAGCCATAAGAAACCAAATGCATACATCAATATGAAAATCTATCACTGAAACAATGCTCTGTGACCCAAATTAGATGAAACCCAAAGGGCATTTGTGCCTTTTCACGTGTCACTATTAACGATTGACTAATGGTAGATACTAAATCGACACGCTTTGAAAGTCTACATACTAAATTGACACATTTTAAAATTCGAAAACCAAAGTGAAACTAAGCCCAAAGTACAGTATACTACCCTGCAATTTTCCCTTAATAAAAAGCCTCTATGTTGGTTTTTCTATTATAGTTAATGTGCTGAACTTCAAACTTGAATTAGGAAACAATCAAACATCTTTGAGAATTGAGCCCAGAGTGGATCCATTTTGTACATTTTTATTTTTTAATTAAATTTTACTTTTTTCTTCTTCCGGATGCAAGGCCTTCTTGTAGCAGCAACAGCTTCAAGGAAATACATAAATGAAAACAAACTAAAAAAAATCGTTCATGGTTTCAAGAGATTTGAGTTCAGTTGGACCCATTTGTTGAATATGCTGAACCCATTTATTCCCAACAGCAAAACTGGACTCAAGAGAAACGCCTTTTTGACGAGTAAATGAAGCCTACATAACAACAGAAAAGGCCTTCCTCGTGCTGCTTTGTTCAACAGTGTCATAGCCTAAATCAGGATATACTAATAATAATAAGATTTTATGCAACACTTGGGATTCAGAGTTCAGACAGAAATTGGAATGAAAATTAGAATCAACTAGGTTGAGATTTTATTCCCAAAAGAGGGGAGGGGAATAAGAGTCAAACGAGAGAATGCCATCAGGAATGGGAATAGGATTTCAATTCCGCCCAACCAAACAATTGGAATCGAAAATGGCCTATTCCGATTACAATTCTAGACCACTATTACCACGAATCAAACGACCCTTTGGTTTACATTGGAGATTGTGAGAATCATCAGAAATGAAATACTTCCAGACAAAGTTGGACATAACTTTTCACTGGTCCCAACTTATCTATAGGTGAAAAATACGAGTAAGGTGCATAAACTCAATAATAACCAGCATGCCTCGCGTCACCAGAAAGAGTGAGAATGAAATGTGGTGGCTGGGCTTGGATTAGTTTGGAGTTTGGTGTTAAGACAATGCCAGTCTATAATCTTGGTACAATATTCTGTGGACAAATGATGTTAAGACAGCGCTGTGTTGCCTATCAGAAGCTGTCATACATTTAAACACGAGCATCAGGCAACAAATTCCCACCGAATCCAAACAGCCACCGGCCATTGAGAGACGACACTTGCTTACAGCATTTTTTAAAGCAAATCCCAGGTGCAAATGTGCAATTTTTGAATTTGGATCAATGACAATTCTAAGCAAGCCTTCGCTGAATGGACCTCTGCTATATGGCAAAACAGTTATTTTGCGCTTCCATATTTACTATAGAAAAATACTGGTATGCCAATGATATTCATGAGAGAGAGGAGATGTGAGGTAAGCCTTGGGGTATTTGGGCATTTGAAACCTTTCAAACAGTTGATTGCATGTAGAGCTACTTGGAATTCATTGTTCTGAAATCCAACAAAATGGAGAATGCAGATAATTGGTTCTATCAGGAATAATATAAATCATATCAGAAATACATGATTATTGGAGTATAATTTTATAAATTACTGTGGATTGGCTGCTTTACATCTCAGCAGTTCTGTTTCATGGAATATCATCACCAGGCCAACTTGTGCAATGGCAAAGTGGAACTAGTAAATAAAATTTACTCTGCAATGTCATAGAAGGTAGTGTTTCTCACTCTGCAGTAAAACTTGCATCTCATCACTCCTCCAAGACATCTCCCTTCCTGTACAAGATGGTATCCAAGTCTTCCCTCAAGAATCTCTTTTGCTCGAGTCCATCTAGGAATTTCCAGGATGATGCTCTATCTAAAAGTGCAAGGCCCATAATCAGAGCAATTTTACAAGTATCTTTAATCCACAACAAAGAATATGTCTGCAAACACTGTAGGCCTCAGAAATTTTAATCAAGACAAATATCAAGAATCCATATCTTTCTTTCTGTTCCACATCTTGTCTGCAAGAGATTACAGTTTAACTAAAATAAAAATAGTTAAGAATATTATACATGTGCCTTATACTGTTGGGCAATTTATCCAAGGAATATAGTAACCCCAGAAAGCCAGGAAATTGCACTTATGCAAGAAGAAATGCAAAGTAATTGCCAGGTAAATCATCAGCATACATCTATATGCAGAAATTTTCCAAGGCTGCAGTTGAAATTATTTGATTGGTCCGACATAAATGCTGAAAGACAAATCTGGCTGGAAGAAAGTTCCTCTTTGATCTATATTATATTGATCTAACTTTGAGTCATAAAGGATGACAAAAAAAATACACGAGAAAAAAAAATTGTACCAGATATAATCTTACTGAGTAGGTTCTTAGCATAGATGATTTACCATGGGAGCATTGCTCGTGGGGTAGTCCAATGTTTTAAAATTGGGCCGAACCAGTTTGAACAGAACCAGATTCTTCAGAGGTTGTTGGATCTCCTGTTTTAACAGTTTGACCTGGTTCAGTCTTAAAAACATTGGGAATAACTGGTGTTTTAGTTTTTATGTATTTTCCTTAGTTATTTTCTATTTATTCTTTTATTGGTTGGAGGGGGGGGGGGGGTCAGGTATTTAATAGAAAGGCAAAGTAAACCATACAAACTTGAAATTTTTTTTTTTTGGCTAGAAATGTCATGAGCATGAGATTTTTGTCCATTTGTTAGCCCAAATTGGCCAAAAGCCAAGTACCTTGACTTCCAGATATAAATCAATAGGAATATGAAATAAATACATACATAATCACCATGATAGTAAATACATACATGCTAAACTTTCGCTTTGGCTTTGACCTTTGCATCAATCTTTCCCTGCAGAAAATTTTGAAAAAAAAGAAACAAAAAATTCTTCAATAAATGATGAAAAGTTAATTAATAATATCCTGACTAATTATAAAAGAAGTTAGTTTTGAAAATATGTTGCAGCAATTGGTTGATAATTAACAGAAATATCCTCATAATAACCATGATAGAAAATACTGATATGGGTTAACCAACAAGGCGAAAGATCACAAAACTAGATCTATAATGTTAAGACCAACTCATTTAAGCATCATAGACAAACCTCTGATGGAAGGTCCTTTCGGATCCTTCGAGTAGGCGTCCTCATTGTAACAAATTCCTCAGCTGCTGTGGGGTGAATACCCACTGTGGCATCAAAGTCTGCCTTAGTTAATCCAGCTTTTACTGCAACTGCAAACCCCTATAATTTTGGGAAGATATGACTTAAGATCACATAAAACATAAATTTAGGGCCCGTTTGGCATGTCTTTCCGTGCGGTCTTTCGGCTGTTTACAAGCCGGGCAGACCAAATTTCGATCTATTTCCATTTGGCACGCGGAAGAATTAGCCGCCAAAAGATGGAACGCCAAAAAGACGCGAAAAGCCCATTTTGGGCTGATTTCGGGAAGCTTCATTGTCTTTCGCATTTTATTCTCATGCAAGAAGATACGGAAAGACACATGGAAAGACGTGCATCTGCCAAACATGCTTCAGGCTGCTCAGATCTTCATACAAAAGCTTAATGCGTCTTTTGACTGTCAGAGCTACCAGAAGATCTTCCCAAAAAGACGTGCCAAACGAGCCCTTAGTAAAGCACCAAACTGGGAAAAGAGGAAGGAAGAAACCTGCACAATCTCTGGTGCATCTTCTCCACACATGTGAAGCCCTAGAACTTTATTTGTCTTTGCACAGACTACAAGTTTCATGAAGGTCCGGTCTGGAAGTCCAGATACGGTTGCCTTCAGCGGCCTGAAGTTGGAGGTGAAGACATCAACATCACCATATTGTTGGATAGCCTGCAAATAATTTAAAAAATAATAAGAGGAAGATACCAACATTTTCAAAGACAACAGACAATTCAGTTTACCTGTTCCTCGGTAAGTCCAACTTGTCCAATAGGTGGCTGGGAAAAAACAGCAGATGGTACAGCTCTGACAGAAAAGGTAGTCACAAATTAAAAGTTTACCATAGAAATTTCTTTCTTTCTGACCAAATCCAAGCCAAATGATAGTCATAGTCAAGCAGCTGACTCTACAGGAGCCAATAAAACTCCATGAGATGTAAGATATGTGACAATGCAAATGCCAATTACCTAAAAACATGCACACTACAAGGGAGTTCAATCCAAAAGAGCTCCTAATGTTCTAGAACACTCCAAATCCAAAACCTTCATTCTAGCTCCAAGAGTTCATGATACCTTGGTTTTGGATAACTGGCTCCAAGAGTTCATGCACACTGCAAAGCATGTATTTACAAAGGAGTAAAGTCCAAAAGGGGTCTCAATGTTCAACAGAATTCTAACTCCAAAAGGGAAAAACCTTAACTCTAGCACCAATTTAAGGTACAGTTTTCTCTGAGAAATGCTAGCTCCATGGGCTATGATGGCCAAGAATCTTTTAAGCACAAAATCAGGGAAACACAATCAAGTGTTCCCCAGTAATACATTGTTCAGGGGGTATTTATGAATAGGCTCCTGAATATGTATTTCCTTTTTGTGCTCAAAGGGCCAATGGCTGTTGTGGAGCATGCTCCAGCATTTTCCAGTTGTGTTTCAATGTAACTGGTACCATATGTTCTCTCCATTGATCATTCAAATATCAACTGACAAGAAGAGAGATTACCTATAGTTTGGTTTTGTTGGTTCATTGCAAAAAGCAGTTTTTGCAAATGCTACCCCCTCCATCAATGCAACTGGAGTTAAATTTATCCTATCAGTAGCATCACCTACCGCCCAAATTGAAGGAACTGATGTTTGGGAGTATTCATCAACCTAAGAAAATTATAAGTTAAAAAGAGGGAATGCCCAAATTATAATCCTAATATCAAGGAATATAAGAAAAAGCATCAAATCAGAACTTACCTCTACTGCTCCACTGTTGGTCATTCTCACCCCAACCATATCCAGTCCTAAGTTCTGGAATGCAATAAGTAACTGGCAACTTTAGACAGGTTTACCCATTATTTGAGTGGAAATCTCACAATTCAATAAAAAATATATATCAGACCTTTGTGTTTGGTCTCCGCCCTGTTGCAAACATGACATGTGAGAAACCATCAACAGTTCCTTTATTGGTCTTCAGAGATAGTGAACCATCTACTGATTTTAGAATTGCCTGGGGTGATTCCTCTGTGTGGAACTCAATTCCTCTTACAGACATCTGTTCTGCAACAAAATCTCTGATCTGCATAAATTAAGAGTACAAGGGGCAAAAGTCTTAGACTTATGTACAACTTGAATTTAGGCAATGCCTGAAAGATGTATTAGGGTTTCATAGCACATTTTTACATTTGAAACTTTTATCTTATCTTTTTTTTGATAATTAACAGAGAAGCAAATATGTATTATATTCATTGTCATAAAAAACACAACCCTTATTATCCAATAAAGACAGCAGAAACAATAAAAAATGCCAAATTTAGCTGGCATACAGAAGTTAGAGATAAAAACTGGGAAATTACAGTTCAATTCCAGGTCCCAGTAACCCCCAAATACACCCTTGCCCACCTACCCCTGCTTTTTCTAGTCTGTCTGCTAAAGCATTGCCAACTGGGAATTCACCTGAGTGAGTAGTTCAGTTTTCTTCCAATTGCTTTGGCTCCCCTAACAAGGGATCTTAAACCACCATGGGGGTTCCTCCATTGATGTCAACCAAGATATAACTACTTGAAAGTTTCATGGTATCATATCTTTCGGTTCTGCTGTGCTATTGGTTTCAGACCTTGGATGACAGGAAACATCTCAGATCTTAGAGATTATGAAACTGAAAGCCCCAGAAAAGCTCAATATCGTTCTTCCTTCATCATCCTTTACCACCCCTCCCACACCAAAATCACCAGGATTACCTAAATTACAACCATAATTAAATTTTAGCTTGCCAGGTTCTGGTAGTGACTAATCAACACCCCTTGGTATTGTCCATTTCAGATATTTAAGTTCATTATTTCATCAATGCATTCTTTAGCAACTAATACTTTATCCATTAGTTAGCATATTGGAATGCATCACGGATTGTAAAATATAGCATGCATGTTTTTAAATTGCATATTATTATTAATTCATTATTAATGAATTTAGATACCATTATACCAACAAATGCTTGAAGGGCCAACATTAACCATCTCCCCATAAACCATATAATCATCAATCCAATAAATATAAATAGACATCCCCATAAGCATTAACCAAATAAAACTAATCTTTCTCTGATTTTCTCACCTCCTCATCAAAGCCTCTTAAAACTTTCTTTTGCCGGATAAACACATGCACCTCACTTTTCAAACCATTGAAAATGCCAGCAAACTCCAAAGCAATGTACCCACCCCCAATTATTGCAATCTTCTCAGGTTTTGAGGGTAAATCAAGGGCCACATCAGAGTCTATAGCATACTCACTTCCAGGAATATCAGGAATGAACGGCCGTCCACCAACTGCTATTAGTATGTGTCTTGCTGAGTATAGTTTCCCATCCACATCTACAGTGTGTGGGTCTACAACCTGCGGAAAGCATTAAGATCTACTCAATGAATAGGATCATCATGACTATGTTTAAAACTTATCTTTTTATGAGAATGTTAGCCAACCTTTCCACGACCTTCAATTAATGCTACACCTGCATTTTTCAGAACATTCTTGTAGATTCCGGTAAGGCGTTGCAACTCAGCATTCTTGTTAGCAACCAAGGTGCTCCAATCATGAGTAGGGTTGGCCTCATATTTCCATCCAAAGTTACAGCTCTCTTCAAAATCATGGGAGCATTTGGATGCAAAAACAAGTAATTTTTTTGGAACACATCCCCGAAGTACACATCTGCATTAGAAAAGAAAAATAGATACTTGTTTCATTTTTCTGAAAAAAAAAGGATGAGTTGCCACACTTACAATAAGATAAAATACATAAACAAAAGGAGATACTATATAACTAATGAATATTTAAGAACCAAAAAGTATTTCCTTAAGTCACTAATGGCACCCAAGAAAATATGTATATGCAATCGATAGAATATCATGAAACAGAGTGGCATATGCACCAAGAGGCTGCTTATGCACACCACAAAGAAAGCATATAGTTCAGGCCTGGGAACAATTTAAGAAGAACTAAACTTAAATGGTAGCTGATTAATTCAGGCAATCCAGGATCAACTGGTTTAGGACATGTATCTACAAATAGCCATGGAACTATTGTTGTGAGTTATTTAAGGCTCATAGGAGAAGGGAATTCCTTCAGGATTGTACTGCTTTCCCTGTTACAAGGACTCAAGATCACTCACTCCTTAGATTAGAACAACTTATAGATTGTAGTCTGAATGTGTGATAATTAGTTGGAAGTGAGATAACATCAAAATCCCATGGCCCTTGAGACATCAACTAAGAGAAGTAAAAGGACCAGCCTTGAGCCTCAAAAGCTCCTTCAAGTGAGTACTGTGCAAGTGTGCATAGTTGTCAAGGCAACACACCTTGGCAATAAGACACCCATGGAGGGTTACCTTGATTAAACACCTAGCTATTTTATACATGGCTCTTGAAATATACTTATATTATTTACTTTTGAGATTATAATAATAAAATAGACATTATTAAACTAAATTTTTCATTTTGTGGGTTTATATACCAGTTTCTTTTCATTATTTTCTTGTTTGTTATCAATATGCATATTGGTGTATGCTGTCTTAAACCCTCAAAGACTTTAAAACTTGAACTGATAAGCAAGGAAAAACTTAAAATTCTGTCCAATCAAAACAGTTTTCTTCTTCTTTCCTAGTACAAAAACAGGGGGTTGGCCCCATATTTCCTGAATATTCTTTTCTTTCTTCTTTTTCTGCTCATGCATATGTTAAATTTATATGTTTTAATATAAAATTTATACTATGTTTTATGAAGATTATAGATAATTTAAAAAAAATCCATTGCCTGTCTTAAACCCTCAAAGACTTTAAAACTTGAACTGATAAGCAAGGAAAACTTAAAATTTTGTCCAATCAAAACATTTTTCTTCTTCTTTCCTAATACAAAAACAGGGGGTTGGCCCCATATTTCCTGAATATTCTTTTCTTTCTTCTTTTTCTGCTCATGCATATGTTAAATTTCTATGTTTTAATATAAAATTTATACCATGTTATATGAAGATTATAGATAATTAAAAAAAAACCCATTGCCTAGGCGAAAAGGCCCCCCCCCCTTGATGCCTAACCACACCTTAGTGCCTTTAAAACTAAGTATTTTTAATTGGTTGTTAATTGTATACACTTTACTTCGAGTTGAATCATCTTTGTCAGTTTGGTATCCTCTGCTCTTGACAACTGCACAGGGGCAGGGGCTCTATCTGACTTACTCTTACTTTCCCCATTATTAATAAAATTGTATTGTTGTGTATTCTTGTGTTACTTATTGAAAAAAAAAAGGAAAGAAAAATAAGGTTGGGGATTTCTTTGAAACTTCCTAGCTAATTGACAGAAGATCCTTTCATGTTAGCCAATAGCCAATAGGTAATATGAAATCCCACAGACACAAACTGATAAACATACATATAGCAGAGTGGCAAATAGATGATATTCGAAAAAGAATTCCTGGTATACAAAGATCAAAAGCATCTCCTCCTTTGAAGAGCATATTGTCCTGGGTTAAGCTGGTATTAATTCAATTTGTCTTGCATATTTTCCTATAACAACTTGCATTTAAACTATTTATCAGCATGATGCTAATCTTCTTCAAACATCAGTATAGAAACTAGAATAATATCTGCTAACAGTTATTACTTTTACTTCATTGCTGTTCTATCAGAATAAAACATGCAGCCATCCCCTGGATGAAGTTCCACCTTGATCAAACACTACTTTCAACATAAGATGATTAGCTAGTAAGAACAATATACACTGTAGTTTAGGCTCAGTTTGGAAATAGTACAAATACAAATATGTACAGTACAAATACATAGAAAATAATACAAAATACAAGACTTTGCACTCTACATATTTGTATTTGTACTGCTTCCAAACTGAGCCTTAGTAATTTAATACTGACTATTCAGCACTAAATTATTGGAAAGAGAGCCTGATCAGTGTAATGGATTCTTCACCTATCACAACCAAACTTCTCAGTTTTGACGTCTACTTCTCTAACTAAAATTTTTGGAATTCCCATCTGATCCACACGGGATACTACGATTCTAATGATATTACCTCCGAGGGTAAACATAAATTTCTAAAGCCTGGAAAAAAAGAAAAGAGGAATCATTTCCCCTTCTAACCCACCATAAACGCTACCTCCCCAAGAGAAATAAATAAACAAATAAGAGATGAAATTCGTCCACCTTATCTAAAACTAAAGCATCCATGCAACTAGAAACCACATAGCTCAACAACAATAAAACAAAACCCAAAACCAGATTAAAGCAGTGGCAACTCAAAATCCCAAAAATGAAAAGGAGTAAACAAATCCATGCAACTTACGTTCCGCCGACACCACCAGCTTTATCGGAAGAAATAGTAGCAAACGGAAGCTCGCAGATCGCAACAGAAGCACCATAACTTGCAGAGAAACGCGACGCCCGCACACCACCGCTCCCGGCACCAATCGTAAAAAGGTCGAAATCGTAGTGTCGAGGCTCCGCGCCGTTTTCAGACTCCGCCCGAACTGTAAACCGCCGGCACGCAATGAAAAAACGACGGCTATCAGAGACAGACGTTAAGGTTCTGAACTGGAAGCACGTCGAGGAATTGGTCGACAGAGATCTCGGTGCGAGAGAAGGTGGTGCCTTCCTGCACAGATGATGAAGGCTCGAAGAACAAAAGGTAACCTTTGGTGCGGTGGCCATTGTCTATCCGACTCCCAGTATCGCAACACAATAAATTCCTCCCTTCCCTGTTATAGATTTTGGATGGATATCTTATTTTTAATTCCATAAATGACCCTGCATGTAGTTCCTAATCTGTTGGTGCAGTGCAACAACTCGGGCCGGATCTTAACGCAATGAGAAAGAATCTAGAAATCAAACCCGGATAAGACTGATGGAGGATGAAATTTGTGACTTGTGAGGCGAAGCAGGTCCAGAGTCGGAGCTAAACCGGGTTGTTCAATTTAATTGGGTTTTTAAGTACGTGGATCGGGTCTATATGTGCTTTGACGAATCGAGCGCATGGTCAGATGGATTTGGCCGTGTCATCCTTTTTAAGTGGTCATAAATAAAGGTGGGAGATATAGAGGAGGATATTCGTGGCTTATCTAGAAATCCTTTTGCCCCCCTTTCATTATCGTTGGTTCCTTGCCTCCTTGGCCATGTAGGGGCCTGGATCTTCTTCTGACAATGTTTGGGTGGGCCTCATGCGGCCCACATTTTCTAGTTTTGGATGATGGTTTTGGGGCCCGCACTAAATAGGTCTTTTATCAGTTTATGGACATTAAGGTGGGCATTTTGGAAGTTGTGGATGAGATCTTATTTTAGTTTCCATGCAATTTTTGTCATAAAGCATGAGGGTATAAATAGACCACCCGATTTCAAGAATTAAGGGTACGTTTGGTTTGCAGGAATTGGGGTTTGGAATGTTCACTTTCATTCCAACCATTTGGTTGGGTAGAATAAAAAATCCATTCTCATTCTTGGTGAAATGGTATTCTCATATCTGAGGGAATAGTCATTACCTTCCCCTCCTTCCGAAATGAGAATTCATTTTAACTGATTTTGATTCCAATTCCTATATGAAACCAAACTTACCCTAATGCATTAATGAAAAATAATAATTGTACTCTTTTAAATATATTAACTTAGTGATTGTAGTTAAATATAAAAATTTGGACAACTTACATTAGTAGTAATCTTAAATTTGTTTTCAAAAAAAAAGTACTAATCTTAAATGATTTTATGCATTTTTTAGGCTAAATAATTGGGTGTAGCCCATTCCCTTGCCCCATTGCCCATAATCCATGCAACCTTGGTGACACCCATAATCCCTGGAACCTTGGCGATAATGGGATTTGATCCCAAGCTTCTACTTCAACTAGCTAAATGCTTAACCAATTCACCCAATGAGTACCATCATATGCTATGATATGATATCTTAAGATACTTTTATTTAATTTTTATGACCTACATGAAAATCAAAGCATATATCAATGGTATATGATGCTATATAGCATTACTATATTATTATAGATATAGTATCAGAAGAACAATTTGACTTTATGCAAGGGAAATCAATCATGGAAGCTATTTTTATGATGGAAAATAAATGGGTTCAAAGTAGGTATATGAACCTAATTAAGGATATGTATGAGAAGGAAACAACCAATTTTAGAACACCATTAAGAGGGACTTCAGATTTTATAGTTACTATGGGTCTTCATCAAAGTTTAGCACTTAGCTTTTTATCTAGTTGCACTGATCATAGATGAATTGACCAAACATATTCTAGAGGAAATTCATGGTGCATGCTATTTGTGGATGTCATTGTTTTAATTGATGGAATTAATGAATGATTAAATGCAAAATTAAGCTTATGGACAAATGTCTTACAAATAACAGGTCCTAAAATAAGACTAAAACAAAGTATATGACATGTAATTTAGTAATAATATGAGTATAGACGAAAATACACTTAGGATTGGAGATTGGGAGATAATTCAATTTATCCATTTTCTGATACCTTGATTCAAATAAGATGTTGAGGAGGATGTCACCTAAAGAATTAGAGCATGATGGATAAAATGAAGGTATGCATTTGGACTTTTAAGTGATAAGCAAATACTACTTAGATTAAAAGGAAAATTCTATAAAAACAACTGCAAGGCCAACTATGTTGCATGGAGATGCTAAGATTGATGAATTAAAAAAAAATGGAAATGAATGAAATCAATCCATAGGAACCTAGAAGTAACTCCAATAGGTGATAAAATGAGAGAGAGTAAACTAAGATGGTTTGGTCACATGCATAGAATACCACCAACTCTGCCATTTTGAATAAGTGATTTGTTACACATTGAAGGAGCTAGAAAAGCTTGGGAAAGACAAAAAATGACACATGTATAAGTAGTAATAAATGATTTAAGCACTAATAATTTAATAGTTGGCATGACTTTAAATATAACAGATTGATGAAACACGATTCATGTAGCCAACCCCATATTGTTGGGATAAGGTATTGATGAATCATGATGGTGATGGTGATGATGACGGCGACGACAATGATAATAATGATATAAATGCACTCAATAGGGCTACAATTGGGTCAGATTCAGATTGCGTTCATCAACATCTGAGTTTAATTGGATTTGAAATCTTGGATTAGATATGAAACCTGTTGTACTTGGATTGGATTCAGATTTAATTCGACTCCACTTCATATTCTTGAAATAAAAAGGAATAAAAATATAAAAAAAAACTAATTGCTTTTTAACTTAAATTTATATTTATATATAGTATAACATATAAAAGTGTATATTTTTATATTTATAATTGTATATAAATGGACTTGGATTTTGATTGGATCACATAAGATTAAATTTACATCCGAACTGATTATTAATCATATGCAAATTGTAAAATCTGATTCAATTCAATTATGTAGATTAATCATTTGAATCCAAGATAATTGGATTGGATGTTGAATTGAGTTCAGACTTTAGAACCCATTGATAGCCGTAATGCTCAAATTGCAATCTTACTAATTGATTAATGCAATTTTTTCTCTTCTTTGGATCATTGATCCTCGTGGAATCCATTAATTCAAACCTTCCTATTGCAATGTTTAGATGGTCTTCTATTACTCCGATAGTGCATAGCATGGTGGAGATTGTGGAGAAATCCTCTACGGTGGGTGGGAAGCCTACTGCATTGTTCTTAGAATAAGAGATTTAAAAGTCCTTTCCAGCCGCTACATTTTGTTCAAATAAAGAAGTGCGATCATGCTCCCCATCAAAGACTTCTTAACCAAAACTTTTCAACTATAAAGGAGTATTGTTATTACTTCTTTGAATCCATGTAATATCATCATCATCATCATCATCCATGCCTTATCCCAATTATATGGAGTTAGCTACATGAATCTTGTTTTGTGTGATTATTATTTTAGATTGTGTTGAATGCAATAGTATGTACGCCTTGTTAAATATGAAAGTACACTTGTGAAATGTGAACAAATAAAAATTAAGCTAATTTTAACTTGATTAGTTGGGATTTAGAGTTAACGTGCAACCAATATTAGTGAATGAACCTGGTTGAACTCTTTCTCTAATTAATTGTAAACTTGTATGATGAAATTGTCATCCATTTGTTTAATAGCTTAAGTGGTAGCAAAAGGCCTTAAAAATTGACACTACTACAATGAAGTTAATATGTACTGTGTTTATAAGAGCTTGTGTTGAGGTGGATTTATTAAAAGAGAATCCAAAAAGACTTAGGATTGGAATGGCAGAGATAAATTTTGGCAAAGAACCATTCTTGAAAAGCTACTGAGTTATTGTTATTACTACAACAAGATAGTGCATGAGGAGGATGAATGCGGCATTAAAAAAAGAAAGAGAGATTCTTTTCATTATACATTATGATATTTTTCTCATTAAGTTTTATATTTAAGGTTTCTTTTTTCTTATATATAAGCACACACTATTAATTAGATTTATATCAAGCACTTACAATAAAAGAAAATCCATGTTTAAAAAATATGATAACTAAGAATTATTTTTATATACAAAAACATAAAAAAATGTAAAAAAATGGATAGAAATTTTGCTATTATGTATGACAAAAATTAGGGGGGGGGGGTGAGCACATAGGCTCGGCTGGACTGCTTTTAGCATGTATGATTCACCTATGATAAGGGGCATAGCCTAGGCTTACCCGTATCCTACGTTAGAAATGATCACCCTTATTGCATATACCTAAAATATATGCCATTAACACTTACCATACAATGCATTTATAGAATTTGTATACTGCCACACATCACTCCCTTACATCACTTTTTGATATCACATGTGAAAGGATGGCTCATGATACTAATAATATTATGTGTGGCATAATATATGATATATGGATTCAATTATAATGTAAAAAAAAACATGATAGTGAAAAAATTCATAACCAATTAATTGACATCATAAAAGTGGTAACTAATAAGTGGGTTTATTGGTCAAATCCTTTTTTGATATCATATATTTTCTAGCATCATCTATCTATCTATCTATCTATATAATATGTGACATAGTAGAATTATTTGTACACACAAAAATACAAAAAAAAGTTATAGAAAAAAATTAAACACATCTATAATTCTATATTTACACCACTATTAAAAATATGAATAAGATTGTGGAACTTTCTTTTGACTAAAATACTCATTTTTGAATTTAGTCCCTATTTAATTATGATGTTTAAATTGTAAATTGAACTATTACTTTTCACCCCATTCAATTCCCTCTATTTAAATCTTACATTTTTTTTTGATAAATGAACAGGAAAAAAAAAAAAGATACACTAAAAAGATTAAGTACCTATTTGGCAAGTCTTTTTCAAAAGATCTATTGCAAGATCTGATGGTTAAAAGGCCAGATGAGCTTTTGCAAGTAGATCTTAGAAGACCAAAGACTGTTTGGTTGGAACATTTTTAATAGATCTTCGAAAAGACCATAAAAGCTGGAAGATCGTTTGGTAACTCCATGAAAATATGTGTTATGTATATATGAATGTCTCATGTGTGAGCTAACAAATCATTCATTTAACACATGTGGGACCCACATACAGGTCAACATGCATTTCATAGTTGTGGGCCCCTCGTGCACTTACCATAAATGGGCCCAACATTAAGTCTGCATATGCATATCCATCACTATGGGGTCCACAAATATTTTTCAAAG